TTTCTTAAAATGTAGTACTCAAAATTTCACAGAATTTAGGCTTTGAAAAAAACAGGCATCAGATTGGGTCAAAACAGTCTTTTTGCTCTATTTTACAACAAGACAATGTTAAATTCTAGTTTTGTGCTCAGTATTCTCTGAACCCCTCCCAAACTTATGTCATCTGCAAATTCAATAAAAATACTATTTATTCTGTCTTCCAGATGAAGGAAATGAAAGCACTGTATCAGTATAGGTTCCTGGGAAATCTCACCGTGTAACTAAATCTCATCACTTTGACAGTACCATTGCCAACTACTCTGAGATTTTCTAACCAGTTTTGCCATGTGGGTTTACCAAGGCCTTATTCTCTAGTTTTCTGCCAAGAATGTAATAAAGGCTTTATTAGAAGTGAAATAGGTACTTTGCTGAAAATAGTCAAGAAATCTGGTATACTTCACAAGAAGTACATTTATGCCATGTACCCAATTTTGTGCAAGAAGGAAAGGTACCTTAATTTTGTAGAAGTATTTTTTGTGTTGTTCCTAAGCTGGAACACGGGAAGTTCTGCTTAGACATTGGGAAAACAAGTCGACCATGATGACAGTTAAATACTGAAACAGGTTGCCCAGCGAGGTTGTGGAATCTCTCCATAGAAGTGTTCAGTACTGGATATAGTCCTGAGTAACATGGTGTGTTTAGACAGTTGGAGCAGGGGGTGGACTAGATGACCTGTGGAGGCCCCTTTCAAACTAAAATTAAGACTGTAGAATTCTTCTACTCATGTAGACAACAGTAAAAATTGAGTTTGAACTATTACTGTACATCTCAATGTATTCCAGTTCTTCATGTCTGTGTCTCTAAGCAGTAATTTGCAGTACAAATGTATGATTATTTTGCATTAATTTCCAAGATTTCATCTTCTGACTTTTGGGGATGGAAGTCCCTCAGATATGTTTCTCTTAATTGTGTTAATTTACAGTAGATGCAAATATGTCTCTTGTAAAAATGTCAGGCTAAGCACAAAATTCATACCTTGGTGATCACTGTATTTGTTTTTTATTGCCATTCACTATTCTGCATGAGCTGTAGCGGCGTAGGAACAGCACTGCTGATGGTATTATTGGGATAGATGTAACAAGAGAACGTGAGAATGTTAGAAGGTGTTTGCCTCCACATAGTGTTAAAAAAATTGGTGGCTGTGATTTTATCCAGTGTGGAAATGATATAATATCAGCATGTTTCAAGAATCTGTTCTTCAAAAATGCATATGCTGGAAGTTTTTCCTCAGCACAGGTTAGGTTCATACTCCCTGCCAGCACTGAAATACTAGACAGGCAGAGGCCAAAGACTAGTTTCTTGTGCAGGCGGTGGGGTGTCTGTGAGGCGAGATGTAGAGAAAAGTAAGTTCCTTCTCTACATCATGATTTTTTTGACACTGTACTGAAGCTATGACCTTGACCAACTGTGGCCACCCATAACCCCTCCTCTTCTCCTGCCGCTAAGCTATGTGGATACCCTTAGTATTTGTCTGATAAGATTTTCCTCTGTGATTATTCTTGAGTTTTGGTTATTTTAGTTTTCACATGTTTCCAAACATTTTCTGAATCAGATCCAGAAAGCTGCTTATTACCAGACTATATGTGTCAGTATGTGTTGCTTTCCTGCAAGGAGTTCTGAGACAAGACTTCAGGACATTTCTTCGGATGAATTGCTTGGCATTTTTCTAATTTCAAGAAAATGGAAACACTTACAAAAAGCAGAAGAAACCTCTTATTCCATCTTCTGATATTGTAATAACTCAAATGTCCTTGAAGAGCAGTTCTGGCCAGTTGGGTGTCTGCACTTTGTTTTCACTTCAAGGTGATTTAATTGCAAGATTGTTTGCAAAGGTTTAAGGGCACTGATTTTTCTCTTAAGGAATCGTCATGGTTTAACAGGGCAGGTAGCTAAACACTACACACTGCCCTCCTCCAGCAGGATGGGGCAGAGAGTTGGAGAAAACAAAAAAGTAAAAATCATGAGTTGAGATAAAGACAGTTTAATAGGACAGAAAAAGATGGGATAATAATAAGAAGAAGACTATTCAGAGCAAGTGATGCACAAGTAATTGCTCACCATCCACCAGCTGATGCCCAGCTGGTTCCTGAGCAGCAGCCCCTGGGCAGCTTTCCCCCAGTTTAGATGCTGAGCATGACACCATACAGTATGGAATATCACTCTGGTCAGTCAGGATCAGCTGTCCCGGCTGTGTCCTCTCCCAGCTCCTTGTGCCCTCCAAACTACTCGCTAGTAGGGTGGGATGAGAAGCTGAGAAGTCCTTGACTTAGTGTAAATACTGCTTAGCATCAGCTAAAACATCGGTGTGTTATCAACATTGCTCTCGTTCTAGATCCAAAATACAGCACTGTACCAGCTACCAGGAAGAAAATTGACTGTATCCCAGCTGAAACCAGGACAGGAATACAAGAATAATGCAAACTGAAAGACATCTAGGATCTCTCACCTAGATCCCCCCATCCTCTTCCACCTAAATTCCATCTTTCTTCTGAACTCCTTTGCTATCTCTCAGGTCTAGCATGAATTCCCACTTACAAGCACTCACCCAGTTTCCTAGCTCTTCATTCATGTGTCCTCAAACTACATTCTTCTCATGCTGCCACTGCTTCCCCTCTCCATATAGCAACACCATATAATTTACTAGGCCAGCTTGCGTTCTCATTAGTCAATTCATTAAGTCTGTTTTCTAGTGAACTAAACTAAGCTGGGGCAATCGGCACTTACAGGTCCCTCATTACTGACACTACCATGCATGGTAATACGCAACACCAATAAAAAAATCCAAACCCAAACATACCTGCAAGCATAGGGTAGAAATAATTAATAGTTTTAGAAGGAGAGGGTTAAACTAAAAATATCCACTGTATTTGGAAACCATTTCATATACTGTCTACCCTTCCCTATCAGCAGAGTTAGAGTGGAATGGAAGAGACTTGAAGTAGGAATAGCAGCAGCCAGGATCCAGCCTGGCTCAATCTGTTCTGGCAGGGATTTGACAGATCTGCTGTGGATAGGTCTAACTTCCAGTACAGCTGGTATCAGCTGAGAAGCCATTAAAGTGAATATATAAACTACAGGAAAGTATGATGGTGACATGTTTTGTTTCTAGCTTGTTAAACCAGTAATTGTTATTGCAAGTAGCTGTCATTCCCACCAGCATTTGCTTCTTGTTGACAATGAAGAAAACTCATTTGTTTTATAGTATGAAGCTTAATTTACTTCATGGTTGGTTTCTTTCTTTGCCTGTCAATCCCAGACCTCTGAGAAAGAAATGCAGTCAGTTTTATAGCAAGCAGAATGAGCTGTAACTAAACTGCCAGTATAAAAACTATGGCTTCTGACTAATTATGACGGGATTTTTTTGAAAGGCACATAAGACCAAAACCTCCCTTTTGCATCCTATTAGCCAAGACTGCCAGTCATTGACTATACCCAGATTGACTAGTGATCTGTGGGTATTTGCCCTTCAGTTTGTGTGGGGTTTAATTAAACTCAACAACTCCAGAAGAAATAACTCTGAAGTGACTGCCTGCTGGCCTTTAGCCATGCATCTCCAACAGCCAGCTGTTCATACAGTAGTTGAGGGCACAGTTATAGCCATGTCAGGAGTGTGGGGAAGAGAGCGCCCCACTATTAACTCAGAGAAATGCAAAGGAAACCTTTATGGTATAGATGTGATTTAAGTAAGAAAAATGTCTCGTGGGCATTCAGCTAATTCTAAACAGGAAATGGTTTTGATGACATAAAGAATGCTTCTGCAAGCTGTGTCATCACTAGGAGGGTTTGACCATACAACAAACCTTTCCCAGTGTGGTTAATACTTAAGAAAACATTAGCTTAACATGTGGAGTTTTGTTCAGGTGCTCAGTTTGAACAGACCTCGAACAGACTGCTTAAGCTTGCCTGGACATATTGGCCACACTGACACTGAAACAGCTCACTGATCTATGACTGCCCGCTCTCACGAGTAGTAAATATCACTCTGGAAATACACATCCTAGTTTTTACCTTAGGTCAAATAAATCTAAAACTTGCAAAAACATATATAGAAACTATGAGCATTTAAACTTACAGAGTTCTCTATGTGTGTGCTGACATTCAGATCCAGAATGGTATCTGGATTCTGGCAATCGGCAGCTTGTAAAGGAACAGAGAGCAAGCCACTCATGCATAATCCCATCTTTCTGGTTTTTAATCTTGTGCCTCAAGCTTTAAGCATTTGATGGCAAGATAATGTCATTTTCAGGTTAACTACTAGTTTTAAGTAATTAACTTCTTTATTAGTGGCCATAGCTAGTTGAATTCAGTAAAATTGAGTACTGTAAAGCCACTTATATGTAGGGTTTCATCTCTGTGTTGCTGTGACTGAGTAGAGCTTAAATTACTTATATTTGAACCCAAAAGATCCTGCAGTGCATTTTACAAGCCTGCCAAGCACTGTGTAGGATTATCTACTGATGTACCACATAACTATGGTTGCAAATAGAGCAGCTAAAAATTCAGCTTTTAGAATGTAGCAATCTTGTCTCAATAATAAAGAAATAATATAGCTTGGACTTTGGCCAGGACACCTCCTTCCTCTCCCACCATCTCCAAAATTAAGAAGCTCTTTAGTGACTAACAGAAATCAAGAACTTCGGTTTGGCATATCTCTCCTGACTATACTTCTTGTTGGTTCTAAGTATAGTAAAGGATTCAAAATGCAAAGAATGCAGTTTGGGCTTCAGTTTAAATATTTCACACTGCTAAGAAGGTTTGGAAATACTGACAAGAGATATAAGAAAGACAAACTTTACTTTTCAGTTTACTTCTTTTAAAGGGCAGTCAAAATTTGGCAGTGTCTTGAATCATTTGTGCTTTCCCATACCGTGAAGTCTTCTTTCACAATCGCAAATCTCCATTCTAGGGTGGAAAAATCCACCCTTCTAGAGACATAATTTCCTAGAAGCTTACAGACTCACCACATCCATGATCTGCATGAGGCTGAGAGTGAAATAGACAGTGAGCGGCTGGGAATCATTTGCAACTGGTCGCTCCAGTGGGTTGTAATTTTTCAGCAGCTCCTTGTAAAGCTTCCTTTGGAACTCTCCTTGCAGGGACTCTTCAGGTATAGGAATAAAGAGATAAATAATTAGGATTCTGTGTCAGAAAGTAAAGCTAGGACATACACTCTTTTCCTGCTATCACATATTATGTATCTATTATTCTACCTGCTGCATTCCCAGAAAAATGCCACTGTAATTCATATAGTTCATTAGCTACTACCATAAAATGTATCGCTCTTCCTTTTCATCCCAGCCTGTAAGGGGGATCCCCTCTTTGATCATTTTTGATCATTTCTTGGCTGGACAGGAGTGATAAATTCTAAATGCTTTGACAACATCTGTACCCTTTGGTCCATCAGCAAGAAGTGAAGAAGAAGTATTTTAACGCCTGTCCTGGCATAGCCTATAGCCAGAAAAGCAGAACACAGGTACAGCACAGGGTATCAGCAAGACAATGGGAGAAAAATGGCCACAGGTTAGACTGAATCCTGGTCCCAGACTGCCTCAGATTGAGAACTCTTTGGGGCAAGTACTCTCTGCTTTGTTTTCTGTTCATGCAACTATGAATGAAGTGAGGGAATGGGGTTTCTGGCAGAGATAATAGGCACTATATTAATACGTGATAATACTCTGGGATTTCTGTCCTTTTTACGCCTCACATCCAGGGAGGATCTTTATTCTGCCGTTTTTCTGTGGAGGAAGAGGGAGCATGTCCACACGGGTGGAGCAGGTAGACCAGGGACAAAGGTAGTTTCAGAATGAGTGGAATCTGGGTCAGGGTAGAAACAGGTCCTCTGGATGCGAGCCCTCCCTGTCCCCACTCCTGACGGACTTTCCTCTTCCCTGTTTTCTAGTCCTGAGCTTCCCGCACAAAAAGACACAGTCTCTGCTCTGAAGCAGCTACCATTTAAGTGCCTTGGCGGAGTTTGCTCCCCCATCCCCGCTGCTCTGAGCATCTCCCATGTCCCTTCCCAAGCCCGGAGCGGCC